CAAAATATAGTTACCACTTACCAGTTATGTAAAACATGCTAGTATTCCAGTACCATAGTAAAGGTGCAGCCTAATGCATGAACTCATGTTGTTGTGGATTCTGAGGAAGGTCAGACGTACACAGTTTTACTTTGTATAAAGAGAGATTATTTTTGCATTTTGAACTCATGATGCCTCGGTTCATATGGTGTAACCCTATCGCACATAAGAGTTGAAAACTCAATAGGCCCCGACCACGAAGTGCAGTCCAATGAGTTGGAGATGAACACAATTATGGTGTAATACTTGAGAGCACGGATGGATCATGAGTGGTGGTCAAGACAGATAACATGGCTGCGAATGACTTTCTGACCACACTAGCCCAAACTTGACCTTTGGTCAACATAGGATAGAATGTCATTGGGATCATTCAGGAATGTCAAGACCTATTGTTTAAATGTTTTCGACTCCCTGAAGCCTAGGGCTGAGCCTAGAACTCTGTTCTGGGGATAAAATTTGACTAAAAAAATTACGAGTTTATACCGACAAAAGTTAAGTATAAGCATGATACAAAGCGTAATAAAATTTAAATTTGAATTACTATATGCAACACTAAAATTGGCTTTTGCTTAGCTTAAATAAAATAAGAATGAAAAATATAAAGTATTACTTTCTTAGAACAGTTCTACTCAAATATAATACACATTCTTTCAAATCTCAAAAACTATCTATATTTAAATTCTAGGCTAATTTCTCATTCATTTTCTCTTAATGTACACAATCATCTTAGTCTATAGCAAAATCATCCTTCATGTTATTGTAAAATGTATCCAAAATAATCCTCTATCGTGTTGAGAAATTGATAACTTGAAATAATATAAAATACTTTCTGTTATGGTATTTTTTATGTTCTACATTTCATTGTGTTTTATTGGGTTGTGAACTACTAACATATTGAAAAATGATCAAGGGCAACTATACAAGTATTTTTAAAATAAAGAACAATGCATTGAGTAGAAGAGATCTATATAAAACATCTGTTCTAGGGGGCCAAAAAGGCAGTAAGTTACTAAAAAGAAAATTAAAATAAAATATGAGCAATTACACAAATTTTTACAAACCCCCCCCGGGGGGGGCATATATGTTCAATTAAACAAATTATGGGTAACAATATAAAGATGGTTAAAAAATCAACATATCATGACTCCACCTTTGTCTGAAACATTTCATTTACTTCCTCATCTTTGAGTGCCTAGGTATCCAACGTTAAGTCTGAATTGAAAAGGCACAAGATGATGATGGCTGAATTGCTGCTACTGTATTAACACACAGAAATGTGGAATTTAAATAAACAAAAGAAGTTGAATAAACTGGCGATCAGGAAATTCTCAAGTCCGAGCCTTTTGAACTACTTCTCCACCAAGAGGGACTGCTGTCAACAAGGTCAAAGCTAAGAGTTCAATTCATCAAATGGTATTGAATTTGTGGGAATGTGAGGCATTAACTTGACTATTGTCTATAGATTATCATGTTTTTCAATGTATTTCCAAGTCACGTGAATTATTAACTTCACAACTTCATATATATCTTGTTTTTGAACAGTCACTAGCTTATTGATTTATCTTTCCAATTAGGGCAAATTTTAAACGACCCACGCCCACCCCAAATCATAGACCTTTCCATAAAATCATGATGATGCATTAACATCAGTGAAAAGAACAAAAATGGAATAAGGTATTTGAGAACCGGGACAAGATACAAAAATACAAGCTCTGTGTGCATGTGTGTTTGTGTGTGTGTGAGAGAGAGAGATATGGAGAATGAGTCAGCAACAGCATTAGTAGTGATATAAAAAAGCATAAAAGAGGCCAAAGCACTTGCTTCCCAGAGGGTAGACACATGATACTATGATAATACAATTTGCCACCTAACTTTACGGGTGCACCAGGACCACAGCCTTAGACCCACCACATCCAACCCCAGCTTATGGCTATTTATTATTCTCTGGGTGTCCTTTTTCCCTCAACCTAGCTGGCTAACTAACAAATCACAGCAAAGCTCTACCCTTTCACATTGCTAGAGGATAAATCTGCTTGTCTTCTCTTGTTTTTATTAGGTACCCTTTAATTACTTATTCAAGTCCTTTTCTGCTTGTTTTTTTTTAATATTTGTTTTTTTTATTTAGCATTTAGTTTGGAATTTTGTTTTTCTTTTGTTTTTTTCTTTATTTAGATTTACTAGCTCCCTCTAAACTTAATCACTAAAATGCATATAGATCAAAATGATGGAACAGTAATTGAACATGTTTCTCTTCTTAGACGAAATTGTTTTTTATTTTGCTCCAAACATATTGGCTATTGCTTCAGAAAAACGTATCAAACCGTGTATTAGTTTGTTGGTAAGTCTTTTACACAGTTTGGTGGGAAGAAAGTAGCTAAAAAGAAAAGAATAATGATTCTTTGAGCCTATATTTCTTTTGCAGTGTTACAAAAAATACTAACAAATAAAATATATTAAAGCTCAGTAGTCCCAAGATGAATATAGTCGAGGACTCAAGACGGTAGCTAATCCAATACTAGTATTTTCTAATAAAATTAGCAAATAAAGTTTCAAAAGGAGCAACGGCATAACTAATTTAGCAGCACACCTCGGGCAGGTTAAGTGAGTTGAGAGGTCAGTCAGGGACTCAACTCAACGCAAGTCATGAAACTCCCAACCAGAACCCCAACCTGAATCAGAGTATCCACGATTTTTTAACCCAAATTCAACTTGAAACCTCCAACTTTCAATCTCTTCAACGTTTAGTCTGAGTTGTACTCATGCTTAATGTAAGGGTTTTTTCTATCCTCCACAGAAGGATTGTAAGGATTTTTTCTACCCTCCACAGAAGGATTCTGGTTGACCTAGGTGACCACTCAATAGCCTTTACCTCTCGTCCTACATCGAGAGAGAGTCGTGAATCCTTCTGTGAAGGGTAGAAAAAACCCTTACACTTAATATTCTGAAATAGGGGAAGAAGCTAGTACTTATGCGTCTCCAGCGCAAATCATGTTGAGGTTAACCAAAGCTTAGCACTAAGAAAAGAAGTAACCAGTTTGTAACCCAAAAGTGAAGACAAAAACAAAATCCCAATCCATATACCCAAAGAGCAATACATTCACCCGACAACAAATGGTGCAAGGTCAGCCCTGTTCTATCCTGCTCCCACGTCTTGAAATGACCCTACTAAAGCAAATCTTGAAATAACAAGCCCTAGCACTATTCCAATGCCTAGGAAGCCTAACAAAATATTATAGATTTATATATTGCTTGCGTAACCTCATGAATTGTTAGATGACTTTCGATTTTCTTTGTATCCTAATCTACTTAATCTCTATGAGCTACTTTAAGCTTAGATTAAGCTGAGAATTACTTTGTATCGCTTCCAGGCGAGCATCAAGCCTTGATACTTGATCATATTTCTTTGGTACTCTTTTTTATACCTAGCTAGTAGGTTACCAAATATAAAAGTTGGTAACCCATGGAATAAAAATTTACCATACAACCAATTTGTATGCCGGTTAGCTTGAACCAGCTCCTCCCTGTTCATGCCAGTACATGAATCAGACAGCTGATATTAGGGCACTAAAGCACCATAATGGTGTCTAACCATATTGATAGCAAAGCAACTCAGTTTGGAGCACTTGACACAAAAATATTCCCTGGATATCTTTGTTCCCCATATTATGATGCTTGTCCGTATTTTATAAGCAAAGTGATTGATGCAAAATGGAGCCATCACAATAGTAGGTGAACAAAGCCATTCTAAGTTAGTAGAAGTTCAATGTCTACAGGATATTAATGCTTCCCTTGACTAACTTCTGAACATCTCTCAGAACATGGATTAACAAAAAAGAACAATCTAGTGTACAAGATTCTTACCAATGCGGAGTTGTGGAAGATGAGATTTGTGTAGCCAAAATAAGTCCGCATGCAGAGAGACATTTTCCGTCACTCAAAACTCTGACACACAAACCATAATAGAACAATTTTTCCAAATAATCTCCATTAAAAATTCCGATCCTGGGAGCAATGCACAACCATGCAAGGCAAGCCCTGATCAAACATGCTAGCACATCTTGAAATTACAAGCTCTATTAACTTACTCCAATTCGTAGTGGGCATAACCAAATATTTGCCTTGGAAAAAGCTCGACAATCAAACAAGTTCAGAGCAAACTTCTTTCTGGTTGGATCATATCCCTAGTAAATTGCACAATATCAAAGTTTTACCATATATCCAATTTGTATGATGAATAGCTTGAACCTGCTCATCCCATTTGATGAGAGTGCATGAATCCGACAGATGATATCTGGTCACTACATCAACAAGTGCTAGTCCATATGTTCAGGCATAAAGATATCAGTAGCAACGCAACTCAGCCTGGAGCACTTTACACGACTATATTTCTCAGATATCTGTAATCCATATTTCTGATGCTTGCCCTAATATGGTATAACCAACCAGAAAGAGCACGTTCATGGAAGGTAAGGAGGTGTGTTGTGTTGGTTGTGGGGGAGAAATAGCTGTGTTAGTTCAATCACGACCGATCAGCACAATAGCAAAGACTAAAACTGTATAGACTTCTGGTCTGGGCATTTTCTATTGTTTCTTTGTAGAAATTTCTAATCTACTAAAGGGATGCAACATGAAAGCAGTCCCCAGGCCGGCCACATGTTTTGGTTCCTGACACTGACCTTTTCGACAGCCCAATGCAGCAAAGAGACAAGATCAAAAGAAATAAATCATAGGACAAGTAAAACCAACTTCACTTGTCTAATTTATGTACCAAATTATCTGAAAAGTGTGTTAATCACACAAGAAATCAAGTTGAACAAAAAGACAGCAGAGACATCAATGTAGCTGTAAGAACCACCTTCATGAAATTGAGAAGACACAGAATGACAGTTTACACTGTTTCCAAATGGGAAGAGTTATAGATGGTTGAAATGATTAACTTCTAATTAACTACTAATAACTAGCAATAAAAGGATAGGACAACAAATCCTCTCCTCTCCCTTTATTAATAGTATATAATTCAAACCAAATCCACTGTTATTTGCATCCAAAATAAATCTTATTATTGTTATTTGACATAATACAAGAATATCAATCAATCACTGTTCCAAAATATTAAATGCAATACCTTAACCGCGATTCATCTAGACTTAACATCTGAAACACTGGTAGCATTGCAGTAAACAGATTCCTCTGAGTTGGTGTTTACATTGATGCACAAAGTACAAAAATATGAACATAAAGTGAAAGCCCTCAAGACGCAAACTTCTTTACATGGATTGCCACTCTGAACAGTTTTTAAGTTACTCGCCATTGATCATAATTGATTGGAATGGTACCCGCTTAATTTCCACAAATGTCGAATAATCGTTGTTCATTGGCTGTTTCCATGGCTCCCCATCCATCTGCATATAAGCTTTTTTCCACTCTCCACCTCTAAGCTCAAATCGAATTGCCGCAGCCTGGAAATTGGGGGCAGACTTCGTTACAGATGATTATTAAAAAAATATAATACCATTAAGCAAGTCCAACCAGCACGGAGAGTCAGCATTTAGTTTTCAATAAATTGCATATTTATTTTACCTATTTCTAATTACTGGTGCAAAAAGATTGTGGCTTCCAGCCTCAATTTTATCATATTCCCAGAAAAGGCTCTGCATCTATTGTGTTACCAATCTAAGGAATCCAAGTTTATTTTTGGTTTTCTGATGGAAAAATTAAATATCTTCAAATAGCTACAAAACCAAGAAACGCGGATTTAAATATAGGTACAGTACCATACAAACACAGCAATACAGAAAATCTAAAAAATAATATACAATAAAATAAATGTTTGTATTATCTGATGATTTACTACTTCTAAGTTTCAGTAAATTGTTTGTTAACAATTAGAAAAACAAGCAGTTTTTCATCCAAAAAATACAGATCATCTCATCGCAGTATATCCACAAAGTATATGTGGCTAATTAAAAGAACCAAAACCAACATTTAACTTGCTGGTTTTCACCAAGTAATTATGGGCAAGAGATATGTAGAAATCAACTCCTTTTATGTTCTTTGACAAGTGGTAGTAAACAAGTTTTAAGAACAAGTCATCTGAACTAAAAGAATTGGCTGGGCTGGTAGCGGAGTTGAAAGGGGCATCATTATGGCTACAGTAGTGGTGTCGCCAATGGAGATGGGAATGGAAGAATGTGTCCAACGTAATGTACTGCAAATGGCACTCTAGGTTGCAGTAGAGGTGACCTTCATGTTCTTTCTACTTCCTTTTCCTTTGATTTTCTTCACCTCAGCTTGGGTCAGTGAGAACTGCAAGTTTTCTTCATTCCTTAAAGCTGAGTATCTCTTCCCATAACTTTAACTCAGTTCATGGATTAGGTTTGTCGGACAAGAACTGTTATGAGGATTGCAAGATTGAAGCATTAAATGATATCCCCAACCCCATATACATCCATTAACTGCACAGATCCTTAGTGGGATGGCATGAGTGCATAGTTTCAAATTGGAAGAAGACTATGAAAACTTGTCAGGTGTGCCACTAGTCAGTTCAGGATAGGAAGAACATCACTATTTGCCTGTGTTGAACAGGCTTACCCAAAGGTTTTACCCCAATTAGTTGAGCACGTTCAATCTCATGCCTCTAATTCGCTTATAATACTTCAACTCCGCTCAGAGATTCCTTCAACAGCTAAAAGTTAAAGGAGAATTTTTTCTTTTGCAGTTGTTTAAAATACCATAACCAACTTCAACAAGAGCAACGTTTTAGTAATGTACTGCCTGCCAAACACTGACGACTTAGCTTAAGCAATGGGCTGCAAGGTAGCGAACACTTATTACATCTATATAGGCATCCTGATGGTATAACACTTTAAACACTGGCAAATGTTTTTAGTTCAAAGCTATCTTGTTTGCACATTGAGCAGGAGAGCTGTGAATTTGAGAGTTGCCATATGTGACTTCAAGCAATGGCAAACACAATACCAAATCAACAGACCATTTTGAAATCAATACTATGCTACATGGTTACTTGTACCCATTAACAGAACTAGGGCGGCCATGCCCCCTTCCCCCCCTCCACAAAAAAAAAACACTTTTGAAAACCCTATATGCATTAATATACTTCAAGAAGCCTGTTCAGAAAAAATATATAGACTTGAAGAAGGATCTTCATTTCTATATTGGCACCAGAACAGTTTGTACAAGAAGTGCTTTTAGTTTTTCATGCACTAACCCGTATCACTCTATAAAACATTCTTTTATAGGTATAGTAATGTTAGGCTGTCATCCATATTAATTCTTTTAATAAACTATTTCGTTTGTAAATAAAAAAGTTCATTCTTTTTTATTGCACTATTTAGATAACTATAAATACAAGTTAAGAGTGAGAGGTAGGGTAAGTTTCACCTCTCTCTGTCTGCCTCACATGTGTTTTGTCTCTCCCCATTCTCCAAACTTAATAATATGTGTTCCTATACTTTATGTTTCGACTATAGCTATTCGTACTACTGTGTTTTTTTGGTTATGAATTTTATCGACGCCAAGCTTCAAAACAAGTTTTTTTTTTTTTTTTAACATAGTTTCAAAACAAGTTCAAAATTGGTTTCCCCACAAACTTTTTGGCCGTGTATATTAAAAAAAATTGTTGAAAAAGTTGGTCTGGATGAAATCATAGATAAATTACAAGATAGAAAAAGGCATCGAGTTGATAGACGACTGGTAGGATATTCTGTAAAAAACTATTCTCATGATTTTTATTTTTTTTGTTTATATAAGTTGCTTATTCATTTGTTGGATATAATTTGTGCATTGTAAATTTGAAGTTACAAAGTATAAATATAGTTCACATTGTTGGAGCGAATTTATATATATGGTATTTGGTCCCCTCATAGCCATATCCTGGTTCTGTTTCTACTTGTACCCTAAATCTAATGCATGAATAATGACATAGTAGTAGTAGTTAATAGAAGAGATGCAGGGAGAGAATACGTCATGGAAGATAATTAACTAATATCTTTTCCACTTTTGGTGGTTTTGTTTTCTTACATCAAATTTTATAATAGCTTCGGTCATCAAAATTACAACTTTCTGCATGACAAGTGCTAAAATAATTTTAATTGCTTTTTATGAAATACTAATCTATGAAACAGGCTGCAAGATACATGAAGTTATTGTTGATTGGTCACAGGATCTTTTTTTTTTTTTTTTATGCACTTCACTCGCTGGAACAAGCACATAAGAGGTTTCTTCTTAAGTCCAAGAGAACAATTCTCTCTCTTAATACAACGCAGACGGTTTGTGACAGTTGTGCCGATAGAAATACCGAAGGGATTGTTTCCAACTGTCTAAAGCTTTACTTTCCTGATAGGTGGTTTGTAAGTGGAACTTGAATTTCCTCTTTCAACTTTTTGTGAATTGTAGTGGTTTCGAGAATTAATACAGGTTGAAACAACTATAGCATTTCCATACCCTTCTTTTATGGCAAACAAAGCCAGCTCCACAGCAGAAGTATCCATAATAACGGTTCTTGAAGCATGTTTCAACCAGTTAAAATACAGAGTGTTGGCCATCATAGCTGAGAAAATGCCACAGCTTAACAAGCTTTTAGTGTTAAAAATTAGTGTCAGCTACCTAAGAAAAAGTCCCAAGTTTATCTATGTACGCTTCAACTTCGCTACAAGCAGTGCATTCCAATTCTACTCCTTCCAAATGCTTCACCATGAACAAAAAGCTCTCACCCGCCACACCTTTCTGACTTACCTTCTCATTCTGGTTTCCTTTGACAAACCAGAACCTCAAAGCTTAACTAGTCACGATACCTAGGACCTATCTCGCATAAGTCAAGGAAAAGATCCCACAAATCTCCAGCGAGCCGACAATGGATTAACATGTAGTTATTGATTCTGCATCTCCCTCACATTCAATAAACGGGGATAAATCTACTGGTTCCAAAAAAAGTATTAGTGGTCGTTTTTCTATAACACCATAATCTATATTGCACACACATCTACTTTTATTGTAGGGATGAAAAATATATTCTGTCATATTTGTAGGGGTTTTACAATATTTCTATGTCATATTTCTAGAATTTTTCAATAACAAAGTGAATAATTAAATATTAGTTGGGTGTGCTTCAGAAGGTTTTTATTCTTTTTTTTCTTCAGCCATAAAGGTACTCTACTACACACACAGAATCACATGGGGTTCATTCCTGTTAAACAACTATATACTTTAAAAGCTTACAATGTTAGTAATGGTGCAACTTAAATGTTTATAGTTCAACACATCCCCTCATGTGCACGCTTGATTTTGGGCCAAGCACATGGAAATTTTCAATTATAAGGGTAGCGATGAGATTCAAATACAGGACCTCCTATTCTGATACCATATTAAACAACCATCTACTCGAAAAACTTAAGTTATTAGAGAGGGTATAACTTAAGTATTTATACTTTAACAATTACCAATGCGTTTTATATAATCCTACACAGGCCAAGATTTTCACTGAAGGAAAAATATAAAAGTACTCTGATTCCAAGTTTTCTTTAACTTGACCATTAACTTTTACCTCTCATGCCAACAAAAATTATCCAAATTCTGTTGACAGAAGGCTACTTGACAGCCCAGTTATTATTATTCCACTAAAAAAGTGGAAGAATCAAGCAAAAAAAATCAATTAATTCCAAACATTGCATAGGCATGTTTTGAAATTATCTTAGAAAGATTTGGCCAATAAAGCTTGCCAGCTTATGTAATGAGTCACCTTTGAAGAGAACAGGGAAATTGAAGACTCACGCAAAAGGGGGGCATACCACATCAGGAGCTTTGCTCCCCTCAATCTTTAAACTGTTCCTCTGTGTCACATATTTCAAGGACTACACCCTACTAAACCATGATAACCCAGCACATACTAATATTGTATTCTGTAATGGCATAAATTCAATTTTGAAGGAAATAAACCCTAACAAAGTCTAATGAAAATTTAACACACTCACCGCAACAACCTAAAATGAAAAGTAAGCAAATTTTAACCCAACTACCAGTACCTGAGCAATGTGTTTGGCAGTGATAAGTTCAACCATAACAAATGAAGCATGCCATCCGTGTTTTAGGCCAAATATTTCTAAGAGGCCATCATCAGCATGGGCCTCAACAAAGCCTCTCTGCAAAACAAAACAATCAATTGCAAAGAAACCACCTTTAGCTTCAGATTCAACATTATTTCTCTTTACGATAATGGATAGAGCAAGTACTTTGTGTTCATGCCCTTATGTCATCAAGTTGAAACAAAATAATACTAAAAGCCAATCGTATACCAGAAATAAGTGGACCAAGTAGTAAGAGCAGCATAAAGAAAAAACAAGTGGAGATGGAACCACTAAGAAGAAATATGCTTGCATAGATATTTCTCGTTGGAGCCTCGTGAAGCAATCAAGGGAGCAAAACAAGTTATAATGTATTAAATCAACTAGAGAAATTTGTGAGTCAAAAGGGATACAAACTAAGTGTAGAGTCCCCATATATATAGCTAATAAAAGTCACAATAAGGATAACAATGTAAAATGGGAAAAAACTCAAATAAACCCTAATAACCTAGGCTGCTATAACTCCAACACTCCCCTCAAGTTAGGCGCAAATATATCAACTAAGCCCAACTTGACAACGGAGTCCCAAAGAATGGATAAAGTGACAAGTTTGGTGAAAACATCCATAACCTGATCACTGGTCCCAAAAAACGATGGAGTGACAATACCACTACTAGCGTTCTCCCGAAAAAGTGAACATCGATCTCTATATGTTTCGTCCTCTCGTGTAATATAGAGTCAGAAGCGAACTGAATAGCAAATTGATTATCACAATATAATGTAGATGAAGAAGTCACTGAAAATCTCAACTCGCCAAGAATCTATCGTAGCCGAATAATCTCACATGTGCCAAGTGTCAGTGCCCGATACTTTGTCTCTGCTGACGAGCGAGAGACAACTGATTGCTTCTTGCTCTTCCAAGAGATAAGATGAGTCCCTCGAAATGCACAGAAGCCCGTAGTAGATCGATCATCACACGCTCCACCATAATCTGAATCTAAATAACAAGTTAGAGATCCAGTCTGAGATCCTGATACATAGAACAACTCAAGTCCAGGACAAGACTTGAGGTACCAAAGAACATAGTTGTTAGTATCGTACGATACGTTACGATACAAAGGTAAAACGATACGGATCGTAGTTATATATCATTTTTGCGTCGTATCGTCCGATATACGATACGTTTTTACGATACGATAAGTATCGGTACGATACGACCGATATGCGCAAAACCTGTTTTTTTTTTTTTCTGAAACGATATCATTTTGTCTAAATAAGATACTAATTTTATCCCCGCCATTGATGAAACGACGTCGTTTTGTCTAAATAAGACTAATTTTTTTTTTTTGTATAAAAATTTCTGAATCTTGATTAATTTTATGGATTGAGCTTAAAATGGATGTTAGAAATTTGGATTAAAAGTCTCTTTGGTATTTGAAGTTTGAATTAGTGAACTATGATTGTAAACTTTGCATTATAATATTAGTGAACTATGTTGATGACTTGAATAGGTGGTGAAGTATTAATGATATGGTATCTTTTTATGAGTGTATAATTTTTTTTTAAAGATATATATATTTTTTTATTATTTATTTAAAATTACACCGTATCTTACGATACATGATACGATACATTATTTTTAAAAAACGATACACGATTTAATAACTATGCCGAAGAATATGATAAACTGCATCAAGATGAAGTTGACACCACCTGTGCATAAACTAACTAACTCGGCTGACAGCGAATGAAATATCTGGCCTAGTGTTGGCTATGTCGGTTTACACCCCAACATCCCAGTGTCTGATAGAAGATCCAGAACATACTTCCTCTGAGAAAGAACAATACCCCTACTACTACGGGCAACCTCAATCCCAAGAAAGTATCGCAGAAATTCAAGTTCCTTCACATTGAAGGCCTTCCCAAAGTCTACCTTGACCTGTGTAATCCCAAAAATATCATTTCCGGTAATAATAATATTATCCACATATATCAAAAGAATGACACACTACTTAGAAATATTCTGTCGAATAAAGCATATATGATCTGAATGACATCTGGTGAACTCTAAAGTACTACTACACCACTAAACCGAGAGAACCAGGCTTGTGGTGATTGTTTTAGTCCATAGAGAGACTTACGCAGTCAACACATCTTCCCAGCATACTCTCTATCATCACGAAAACCTAGTGGTGTATCCATATAAATAATCTCATCCAGATCACCACGAAGAAACGCATTCTTCACATCTAACTGATGAAGAGGTCAAGAGTACTCTGCAGCCAAAGAAATAATCAACCGAACAATAGTCAATTTTGCCACGGGGGCAAATGTAGCACCAAAATCACGACCTGGTACCTGAGTAAAGTCTTTCACCACAAGCCTGGTCTTGTGACAATCAATAATACCATCCGCAAGAAACTTTAGGGTGTAAACCCAACGACAGCCAACAGGCTTCACCCCTGAAGGTAAAGAGACAAGATCCCATGTATAATTACGCTGAAAAGCGTCCATCTCCGTCTGCATGGCAAGAACCCACTGAGGCTCCTGCATAGCCTTTGAAACAGAGCAAGAAACCAATGTATCTGATAAGGCCATACTATAAGCTCGAAATGTAAGAGACAGATTACCATAAGAAACATAAGTAGAGATCGGATATAAAGTCTTGGCAGTCCAACTATAACGAACAACTGAACGCCGATCACGCTGCGGATAACGACGCCCTAAATCATCATCCTCCACTGACAATGTCTCATCAGGGAAAGTAATTGGTTCAATACCTGTAATCTCATCAGTACTAAAAATAGGTGCATCAATGTACTCAACAAACTAAAAAGTATTACCTACATCGCCTGAGGTAAACGGGACATCAACATGGGGATGAAAGCGAGGGCGACGAACATAAACCTGCAAAGAAAGAGAGACTGGTGACTCTGTACTGACAGGGATGAATGGCTCTGGAGGAGGAGAGCCTGAGGACTCTGTAGTAATAGTGACCAATGGCTGTGGCTCTGGCTCTGGCTTTGGCTCTAGCTCTTGTGGTAACGAAAAATCAAAGAGAGTATCATCAACTGGAGGGACAGACACGAGACTGAAAGAAAATTAAGGAATGTACTCAAGAAAGGTAACATCTAGACTGTGATACATACGGCGCCAGATAAAATCATAACACCAATACCCCTTAGACTGATGACAATAACCCACAAATACACAACGAATTACTTTATCATCAAGCTTATGGCGAGTAGGAGACTGATCCTGAACAAAACATGTGCAACCAAAAACACGAGGGAGGACCGAAAAAATTGTCCGCTTAGAGAATAAGACCTGTAAGGGAGCCCTATGCTGAAGAACATGACTCGGTGTACGATTACACAGAAAGGTAGAAGTCAAAATAACAAAACGCAAATAAGATTTTGGTACCCCTATATCTCTAAGTTTACAACGTATCATCCCTATTAGACTCTTATTTTTTCTTTTAGTAACTCCATTTTGCTCAGGAGTATATGGACAAGTGAGCTGCTGAAGGATACCCTGAGAGGAAAGGTAAGATAGTAAAGCATCAAACACATATTTTTTGGCATTATCTAAGCGAGGAGCACGAACAATGACATCGAATTGTCTTAATCATCTGGAGAAACTGAGTGATGACAGGGAATACATCAGACTTCCTATGCAAAAGGTAGACCCAAGTACAACAGATATGGTCATCTATAAATGTCATATAGTATCGAACAC